GAATCAGCTCAGCTAGAGTAATCCGAAAATTGAGACAAAATGGGGGTGTTCCATTTAAAAAAAATGACGGTGACGTTATTACTCGAACGTAATTCACCCTGTATATTAGATTTTTATTTTAAAATACGGTAAATTAACATCAAAAATCAACGTGTTTCAGGATTATTTCTTAAAATGACCTGTTTAGCTACACTCTGAAAACTCACGCATGAAATTTTGTAAAACTTATTTCTATTCATGACAATAAATACAAATCTTCACTATATAGACTTTATTCCCAATACACGTGTCACTGTATAATAGTGTTTTCAGTTGAGCCTGTACTCTAAACTAATTTACAATGCGATTTATACAAATTATTGCCAGAACAACCAGCTCTCGAAAAAACTCTGAGACCAAGAAACAACCCAATCAAAAACTGAAAATATCCATTTGAAGCATTTTAACATCTCATCACCCGAATTAAACCACTTATCGTAGTGATAAAAATAGTATTATTTTTGTGAAATCTATAATTTTTTATTTTCTTTTTTAGACTTTCATTTTTCCACATTTTTATTAACTATTTGTATTTTGATATAAATGGACCAGTATATTAGGGATTGTCGTTATAGACCAGTTGTTACTGCAGAAATTAAAGATGTATCTGAATTAAATAGTTTTATAACAGAAAGGGAAGAAAATAATTTCAGTTTATATCATCAAAACATAAGAAGTGTATATAGAAATTTTGATAAATTAGAAATTCTCATGAGTCAACTTACAAACAAATTTGACTGTATTGTTTTAACAGAAACCTTTAAAATAGAATATGAAACTCCTTAAAAAACCGAAAATTACAATATGATACACAATTATGGGGAAATAAATAAAAATGATGGTACAGTAATTTATATAAGAAAAAATATTATGTCGTATAATGAAGTTAAATTAATAGGTGAATGTAGAGTCATTGAAACAAAAATTACAAATAAAAAAAACAATATTCTCATAACATCAGTATACCGACCACCTTCAACAGAAGCTATAACCTATAACATTTGTAAATGAATTGAAAAAATATCTGGAAAACTGTAAAACTACTTCAGAAACTCATCATCATCATAGTCGGAGATATGAATTTGAACTTAAACGATGACAATGAACTTATTTCAGAATATTTAAACGTAATGAGCGAGTATAACTTTATTTCAATGATTAACAGTGACACACGTGTCTAGCGGGGAGCATTACCCTGCATAGATCATATTTTTTTCAATGTTAAAAATGAAGTTATTATGAAGAACTCATTATATACTGTCTTTGATCATGCAATCGATTCTCCTCTCATTTTCATTTACTTTTTCTCAGGTCCAGAATATTGTAAATATTGTAAATACACTGAAATACTGTTCGAAGATTATTTAATAACACAATAAGTAAAGAATTCCCATGCACAACCTTAGGATTTTAATGGGTTCTCTCGATGTTTATTACCCATAACTAGGACATTCCATTTAATTGATTGTTTTTCTTTTTTTGTATTCTATCTGATATTGCATATGATGTATTGGAAACTCTTTCTATTGCTGGTAAATAAACATATTATTATTATGATTGTAGCCATAGACTCCAACCTCTGGATGTTGTGGTTTACGGGCCTTTCAAAACAAAATATTGAATAGTTATGAATGAGGGGATTGTGATTTAAGACTGATAAATAACTGATATTGATAGAAATGAGCAATTTTACAGTTTGATTGGATTTGTATAACAGATGACTAGTTTATTAAGTGATTTTTATTTGCTGAAAGTCTGTTTTTTTTGTAAAGACGAATCCGGCTCTTTCATAGCACATACCCAGGTCTTTCATACACATGTTGCTTTGAAAGAGCTGATTTCCCTTATTTCTTTAAGTTGCCATATTACTAATTTCTGTCATGGTATTTCATTTTATTTTGATTGAATAACCATGACTATTGAACTAATTATCTACAAAAAGCAATTTTATTCAATAACCATCAACTGACGTTAACTTTTTTTGATGTTTTTTAAAACTGGCTCTTTCATATACACTCTCCCATACCGAGCAAATGCAACGGTACAAAGCTGGCAAGAGTGCATTCCATTAGTTCGGACTTCCATTGTCTAATATGATATAAATTGATTTAAAATCCTTGAAAGAATCTGTAAAAAATTAAAAAGATTACGTGAAAAATAACAATTATCTATATTAAGAAAGAAAACTGAAATTACAATGAAATAAAATAAAAGCAACAACCACAAAATAAAAATTAAAGAATTAAACTATTAACATATGAAAATTAAAACAATTATTAACAAGAAATGAAAAATGAAAATTAAAATATTCCAAACCAAGTTACTACAAGACGTTTCGATTGTTAGTATCCACAATCGTCTTCAGGTGATAAATGGACTTATTTGTCCGAGATCTGACTGTTTATAGGTCAAATGGCGAAGTACAAATAGAGAACCCGAGAGTTTTCTCTTCAGTTGAGAAATATGTGCACACCAGGTGAGTCTATTATCTAATGTAATGCCCAGTAATTTAACTTTATTAGTTTCACATTTAGATATTATTTTATTATTAACAGAAATCTGGATGTATTGTGTCTTCTGACCATTTGATATCAGCTTATTAGCTAGAAACCACTGATTAGTACCATTAGATGTTGTGGAATTGGCCGCGGTGGTACTGCGCCCGACTCACGATCGGAAGATAGTGGGTTCGATTCCCGCCTCGACCAGATATTTTTCTCGAGAGAACTTATATGGATGATGCGGGGATGATTCTGCAACCGTGTTAAGAATCACACATTAAAAGGTAAGACCTCGTTAATCCTTAGCTCGCACAAGCTTCTCAACTTCTGAGAGTTGTCGTTAGTATGAGGGCGACAGCTGATTAACGAAAAAACAGATTTTAAACAGATACCTCGTCGAGATGAGACTGTAATATATCATTATTTTTATTCTACAGACTAAAAGTGGTGTCATCCGCAAAGAGAAACGATTTGATCGGCATCATATATTTGCACAAGTCATTCACATAATAAGAGCGGGCCCAAAACAGACCCTTGCGGAACGCCATGCTAAATAGTTTGATAAGGTACCACTGCTTGTTGATGGTTAGTAAAATAGGTTCTTAGTAAGTGAAGTGGAATTCCTCCTCTAACATCATATTTGGGAAAACTCCCGAATTATATTTGTCGAGGCGCTTTTCCCATACCAATAGAAAATATTTCTTATCGACGCGCGTCGAGAGACATTATTTGTCGATGTAATTATCAAACAATATTACTTCACATGGCAGGTACATATATAACTAGCATAACTGTTTTTTTGTGAAGGTCTAATTGTCCGAATACTCTGTACATAGT